TTTTTTTAAATTGGTGTAAATATGGCTAATAATAAATTAACTTGAAAATAAATAGTATGCACCGAAGAAGAATTGAGTAATATTGTGAATATTAATATAAATGTGATAAAAAAGGACGCAGTCATAATAATTTTTTTTATTTGTGCCGACGTTTCAACCCAAACATGTGGGTCATCATCAGGGTGTGGTTCGAGCACTCAAGGTTTTCAAGTACTGACCTAAAAAAAATGTTTATAATGACTGTGTCCTGAATATTTATCACCAATGATATGTAGAACAGGAACTAGCTTCCTTCAATATTTTTTTTTATTTTAAACTAATTTTATAATTATTCTTTGTTTAGTATTATTTAAAGCTAAAATTTTCTTTAAAGTTTTCTTAGCTGTTCTAACATTTTTGAAGTTACTTTTTTTTCGTTATCAATTAATTTTATTTTATTTAATTTCAGTTTTTCATTATTTCGATAGACCTTTTAACAGTGAATTTGACACACTTCGACACAAAAAAGCGTGCCTGAATACTCCAGTACGTAAATGCAATTCTTGCAATGAATTTTTTAGTTCTGCAAAGCATTGAGTGCAGCATCTGCGTCGTTTTCAGAGAGAGAAGCCACTAGTTATGACGAAGCTGAGAGGTCTATGAGATGTTCTATCGTCCTTAAATGAGATCGAAACATCGTTAGGAGGCAGTCTTAAATCATTTTTCCTTGCGTGCTTGTGTCTAAGTAATCGATGTGGTGGAATTTTTGCTCAAATGTTTTCAGCTGGTGGAAATGAGTGGGGAAGGAAATGCAGTAAACAATTATATCGATGCTGCGATTCTCTATATATTTGTTTACTCGTTCAGCATCTCTATCGATGAGGTGCGAAAATATGGCATATTTAAAATTTTTATTCATCATTGTTTTCAGCATTAACTGACAGCTAATTCAGACTTACGTAGCTGAAGACGCCTGGACGCCTAAATCGATTGATATTTAGGAGAAGACCATCAATACATTTTAAAAATCAGACACTCCCCTTCATTGCCATCTCTTCCATCTCGATAGCCAACTTCGCGTACATTTCGACTAGGCTAGCCAAGATGGAAGAGATGACGTATACCGCCTTATTCTTATATTTCGTATACCTTTGACTTATAAGTCTCTCCTTTGACATTTTCGTAGGTTTTCTCCAAAACCAAATTAAGTTTTAGGGGAGCGTCTGATTTTGTTTAAATTTCGGAAATCAGTGGATGTAGTGTGTCTATCTGATTGCACAAAAATTCCACTACATCGGTTGTCGATACAACGGAAGATAAAACGTTTTAAGATTGCCTTCGAGCGATGTTTCGATCTAATATGAAGTCCCTCCAACCGCCTCAGCTTCGTCATAACTAGAGGTTTATCCTCTCTGACAACCATGCACATCCTGCTACACACTACTTTGCAGAACTAAAAATTTCATTGCAAGAATTGCATATAAGTCGTGTCAGAGTATACAGTCATGATTTTTTAGTGTCGAAGTGTGTCAAATTCTCTGCTAAAAATTCTGTCACACTACTTAATGAAACTTAATATTTAATGATGACATTTAAAAATTTTAAAATTCAATAAAATTAATTGATAACGAAAAAAAAGTAACTTCAAAAATGTTAAAACGGCCGAGAAAATAGAGAAAAAGAAAATTTTAACTTTTAATGGACATGAAACACTATAAAATTAGTTATAAAAAATGAAAATTAAAAAACCTTTTAACTGTTAACGAGCGAATCAACGCATTTTATTTTTCCTTTCTTTTTTCTGTCATTTTTTTTTCTCACCGTTTTACCCCTTTTAAATGTTTAAAATGTTTATTTATTTTATTTTTGTAATAGCCCGGGATAATTAATTGTCCCAGAAATGAATTTGATTGTATATTATTTAAATATTAGGCATTCGAAATTGCATTTGTATAAGCACCAATCCAGGCAGTAATACCCAGTCTTAGGTGTTAAGACACCATAATACACGATAAGACGGCCGAGAGCAGTCTGGAGCCAACATTGGTAGATGAAGGATCTGGGTGTTTGGAGATCAGATCCCCCCACCCCATCAGCTCCTCCCTGCTCCAGCCTAGCCCCATTTTCTCACCATAGCTGGCTGGATAGATTGCCGGTCATCAATCGAGATCGATAAGCATTTCGATCCCCCCCCCCCACCATCGACTACTTGACATCAGCTGATACCTGAAAAGGTAACCTCGTTTGGTGTATTTCCCACTTGAATGATTATTTTTCTTTTCTCCATAACATGGTCCAATTTTTATAACGTTGCTAAACGAAGAATTTTTAAATATTAATTTAATTTTTCCCCGCTAAACTATTCTTTTATTTATTTTGGACATTCAATTGAATTTTAAGTAAATTTTTCTCTTGTTTTTTACCTCTAATTTTAGAAGTTTATGTCATTCATAGGGACAATTTGTTTCATTGAATATTGTATTTATGCTCGGTTTTATTTTTAATAAATTTTTATATCATTGTTTCATTTTGTTTTGATTATTAACTTTTGTATATATTTTTTATTTTATTTCAATATAATAAATAGTGTAAACATTCGAAAGAGGAATTATTTATTTTCTATCTTGGTTGATTGAATATTTTCTTGAATATTTGTCTCTGAACTCAAGCTGTACAGCTCTGCTTTTCATAGCTGAGACCGACTCCGAAGACGAAGCACTTCCTGCAATTATGCAATAGGTTATGGGAGATTGAGGACGTCGCTGTTGTTTTTAAATTCAATCCTGAAGATATAAAGCCAGGGAAACATTTTAGAATGACCCATAAGAGGGATGAAACTGAAAGATACTTAGTGCGTTTTCCATTTAAAACTGAACCATTTTAATGGTCTTAAAGGTTTAGCTCCGTTTAAAATGCACTTCAAACATTTTATAACACCCCAACATTGCCAGAAAATAATTTTTATTCAAAGTAAGGGGTAAGTGAAAGATGTGTGTTGCCCGCACCAGATTTTTTTAATTTTTATAATGCAGATAATAGACATTGCTTAATTATAATTAATTTCTACTTTACATTATATTTATTATTTCCCAATTTTATATCACTATAAATTTAATTTGTATTTTTTTTTCAAATAATTAATACTCTCCCTCCCTTTTTTTTATTAACATTATTTATTATATGTCTAAATAAACAAATAAAAAAAAACGTTATTAATTTTTTTCCTGATGAATAATTCTGTATTATTTACATTTATACATATAGTTATAATTTTTGTATAGTTTATATGTCATTATAATTTTGAATAGTTTAGGTTAATTGTACGTTGTAATATCTCGATTCATAATTCAACTAATATATTCCTTTGTTTTCTAATTACTTTGTCTTCTTTTTTTCCTTCCTATTTTTTTTACCTTATTTATTTTTTTTTAAGGGTTCAAATGACTGGCATTTATTGAAACGGGGTTGAGACTATGTTAGTATATTTTAAAGGAAGGAGATGGTCCGGGGTTGCGGTCATAAAACAACACCGATCCAATGTAGTTTACCGGATACCTTGCTCTACTCCTAATTGCAATAGCTCCTATATTGGTGAAACCAAAAACTATCTCAAAACCCGCATTTCCCAACATAAAACGTCCATAACTTCCCGGAATCCTTCTGCCTCCAAACTATCAGAACATGCTTTAACACTCAACCACTCATTTGATTTTGAAAAAACCTCTATCCTTTCCACGGTCCCTAACCATGAAAAAAGACTCATTTCCGAATCTATCCACATTCACATGGAACACAATCCCGTTAATCACAAAGTAGACAAAAACTGTATTTCTCTTACATATAGACACATTTTAAGTCTTATAAGGGAAAAATAACTTAAATATTCTATTCTATTATTTTCATCCACTCTCAATTTTTATTAATTAATTCATTTAATTGTTTATTATTCTAAATATTCCTTCTTTGTATGATCTCTCTTCTATTTTATTCTAAATTTATATTTACACTCTTCACCAATTTATGACCACCCTATATTTTTTCTTTATTTTTTTTTTCTTTTCCCTCTCTATACTTTTAAGTTAGCTCTGCAATGTATGTATGTTAATGAAGTTATTTCTATATTTACATTTTACACTTTACCAATTTTGGGTTTATTCACATTGTACTCTGATCTAGAATCATGAAATACCTCTCACATCTCTCAACTCTATTTTATATGTATATTTATATATTTATAATTTAATATTTATAGATATAGTATTTTTCCATTGTATCCATCCATATCTTCAAAAATTCCTAGGTACTGTACATTCCTGGGTTTTTCAATCTTTACTTAGTTAACACATGTTAACTCCCCCTATACCTGCAATCCTTTACTTAGTTAACACATGTTAACTCCCCCTATACCTGCAATCCTTACCGCTGCCTTTCCAGTTCTAAGTGAAACTCCTAGAGGAACACACCTGTAAGTCTCTAATCTTATTTTTTTCTCCTGTAGATTTTGTAGAATTATACTCACATTTTCATTTGTTATATATTACACTACAACAATTGTTAGCATCTATTTACTTTATTTTAGGATCTTGTTACTCAGCTTACTTAGTCCATATTGTATTGTACTTACTGTTTATAATTCTAATAAGCTTATTCACATTGTTTATAAATTATGTCTAAATATTATGTAATTTCCACAATTCTCTATCTTTTTGTATCTTGTCCGTTCTAGCCCTGATGAAGACCTGCAAAGTCGGGTCGAAACGTTGGCTTTCAATAAAATAGTTTTGCCACTATTTAGCCTTTTTATGACCGCAACCCCGGACCATCTCCTTCCTTTATAATGCAACGGTCAACCATTAAATATTCAATTAGTATATTTTACAACGTCGCTCTCCTCATCAAAATTTATAGTTATATCAATACCACTTTACTATATCTATTATTATATTAAAACCATTATAATTTTATATACCATTATTTTGATTAAAAGAGTGTTTTCTATTGAAACGTTTGTAATGTTCCAGACGATGATTTTGCAGAAAAAAGTGTGAGTGTACTTTTAGATGGTGAAGAAAGTGAGCTAATTTTCATCGATCATCCGTCCAGTCAACTGACTGTAAGTTTCAATTGCCAACATCTTTAATATTACTCTAAATAACTACTAATTATTAAAAAATTGAAAAAAAAATCTGTATTACGAAAGCTTAGTGGTACGAGTCAAATTAGACATGATATCATGCAAAATATGAGGTAACTCAAATTTCTTTTTTGAGTGAATTAACTTTCACTTATGTAGTGAATTAAAAAAAAAACTATAAAAAAACTAAGTTTCCGCTCTTGAAAGCCTTATTTCAGGGTTCACTGTAACACTACAAAAAACATTGACATTTCGACCTGTTTTGGTTTACACTAATTTTCTCCTTTTTAAAGTGACATCGATAACAAATGTTTAGTTCCATCTTAAACAACTTAAAATTATCTTACATTTTTGTACAAAATATTTTTTATAAACTTGACAGGAAGCGAACTATCGAGTAAAATGGGTAAAGTTTTAAAAATTCACAAAAAACGGGCATAATGTTTTATTTTTATCAAATTATTTTTTTTAAAGGTGACGTAGCTCAATAATAATACTAAAACACAGAAAATTTATTACGGCTTTTATAGGAAACATATATTTTTAAACTTACAACTTAAATACAAATAGCTAAAAAGAAATTGATGTTTTGAAATTCGAAAAATAACCTTCCTGTTGTCTTTACTGTTTTCTACTTGTTTTAATGAAATTGGTCATCAACAAATACTGGTTTTCTCGTTACTTTCAAATAAAATTAAAAATATATTCAAATTATATATCTTTGTGTTGTTACGGATTGTTACCATCTCAAGACTGTTCGATTTCTTTACAAAATAGTACTCTTTCAGTTTTGAACGGAGGAATAATGCAACTCCATTTTTTAAACCTTGTCTAGAGAATTTGGAGCTTTCCTTTGAAGGTAATGAGCCATCGTCTGTAACGATAGACGGTAGTCTGGAGTTGTTTTGAAAAGTATGTTTTATTTGTTTTCAAAAGGTATGAAAGGAGAAACAATCCAGTTAAGTTCTGAGTTTTTTTTTTTTTTTACGTAATTAAAGTAGGGGAAATACTCCAATTTGTCACATGTGTTTGGTCGTTCCTTCAATGCAAAAAGTGTACAACTGAATTGATAAGCTAAATATCGAACAAAACATGGATCTTGTTGACTAATAAATGTTAACGTATCAAAGAAATTTTTCTGTCCAGGCCCTGAAAAGCTACTTAAACACAAAATTACATGAAACAAAAAAAAAAAATTAAATAGACTCAGAACTGAATTCCATTGTTTCTCCTATACCGGAAATAGCTGGACAATTTTCTCATTATTGTTTTAAAACATTTCAATCAATTTGAAATAAAATTCAAGATATTACATTTCTACAAGAGCTCTATGTTTGATCACAGTTATTTGGTATGAGCCGAATATTACCCATTGATCTGTAATTGAATTATGTTGCTCTGGTGATAGTGAAAGTTGGTGTGGACTATATGAGGTTGGATCACTGAAATTTAATATTTGATTAAATTAAACAAAAGATTGATAACATGATTATATTGCATATAATTGAATAAAACAAAAGAAATAAAATTTGTGCCTTTGTACAATTTTGTGATTCTTGACCTATGAAGTACATATTACTGTTAACTTGCTGTCTAAATTGAGCTTCATGGTTTGGCCACCACTTCTTCCTCCCCATACTTCCTCCACCAGGCTGTTCTCTTAAAGTTTAGCAACTCATATTTTTCTTTCTTTGTGATTTCTTAAGAGATTACCTGACTGTGTGTACACTTCACCAATGAATGGGATTGACTGAACAGGAATGGTTTTCAGCAAAATAGAGGCCATAAAATGATGGTGAAGTTCTGAATTGTACAATTGTTTTTTTTTTTTTTTGTGTGTGTTTCAGGGGTTGATCCCTGAACAATTTTATTATTGTACTAAGTATGAGAGTTGCGTCTAGAGTTCTCGAGTAAATAAGATTCTAGCTTGCTTGGAACACTGAGCAGAGATATACCTCGATGATCATTGCAATCTCTATTGTCCTTCGGTATTCTTTTCTTATATCATATCAGGTTTAACAGATGTAGAAACATTTCTTCACATTTGCTGCCCATATAACGCATCACTTCGGGAGTTATTTTATTGAGACCTGCATACTTGCCAAGCTACATCTTTGAGATTGCATTCTGCTGCAGTTCTTTTTCGCTGAAGAAGCCATCTTCTTCGAAATACTCTAGCGCATCGTGGGCCTTATAAGGTCTAACGTCTCTTCCTTCCAGCAATTCCTTCAAATAATATTTTCATTTTATCTTCTCCATAAAAGCCGTAAATCCTTCCGTCGTTATCCTTGATTCTTTTGAAGGTATTCGGGTTTTCCTTCATCATTCCATTTATAACTTTTTAGATCATCTGGTTTTCATTTGCACTTTTATCCAGTTTGTGACCAAAATCCTCCCATGATTTACGAAACCCAATTCACATTATTCAACGAAACCCCACAATTATTTAAGAATATAGGATAGCACCTGAAAAAATTTAGTACCCAACATTTTAATAAATCGGTTAATTTAGCTAATGTAAATAGTTTAGTATAATCTTAACTCACAATTAATTAATTTATTTTAGTAAAACAGATGTCAGTATCACAAGTTAATTGATACAGTTTTGATCTACACTATTTGTACACTATTTGGTTGAATGATTAAATGTTAAGCAGTACTTGATCAATGTTTTCGTTATAAATAGAGCTGTGTGTGTATATTTAAACTGTGTTTGTTTAAGCCGGACAGTTGGATGGAGTCTAGCGCAAGTGCTTATTGCGTTGTATATTCGGCTTCTGATGCACTTTCTTTTAATGTGGCAAACGAATGCTTGGCCGCTTTGTGGGCAGCTGACATCACAAGGAAGAAAGCAGTCATCCTCGTCTCTAACAAGTCCGATTTGGTCAGGTCAAAGATCATCTCAACTCAAGGTCAGCCCACTTTCTTTTATCAATCTTAGCCTTAACTGTAATATTATAATATAATTTTAATCTGAGCTTATAAAATATAAATTAAGCTATCGTGTAAATTGCGGCCTTACATTCTGACATCGGATTTGGTAATCTTTTCTTTTCAATCTGTTAATTATGGTTCTTGCGAATGGCGTTCACGATATTGTGTTATTTTTTCTGATCTTATGTTTATCTTATGATGTTTTTATTTGTTATAAGACATGTTAGTTTTACTTGTTAAATGCAAACATTGGGAATTCTACTGAATTTTATTATTTTAATCTCTTTCAGGCCTCTTTTAATCTAATTTCAACAGGCCTCAAGAGGCTTATAAAGGAAGTTTATAATCAGTGGCTCACCAATTTCAACTAAATTTTCTATTGATGACACTACATAGAAAAAGACATATGTCCCGGCGTTCGTTCCAATGAGTTCTAAAAGCCGAGAAAAAAATATTATAAACACTGCCGGACAAAACTAAAGGATCACCTACAAATGTCAAAGGTCATAAACATACTTAAATAGTAAAAAAACTATTTTATTTAAAGAAGACTTTGCAGACTCTTCTTCAGGTAGACGTAGTGTTGCCCAAATGCAAGATCAAGACGAGTCTTTTTTTTTTTTAGATAAGACAAACCTAACTAAGCCCGAATGAAAAATTAGAAGAGTTAAATGCAAAAGTATATTGGCTATACCATTTTTTTTTTTAAACTTGTTTATTGAAAATATTTCAATCTTTCTCAAAGGACACTTATAATAATGTTCTGAGATCACATTCACACTCTATGTACAATAAAAAATAAATTATACAGAAAAATAATATATATACAATAAATAAGTATAAAATAACCTAAAAATAAATAAATAAAAAAGAACACATTCATACCTATATACACTATTAACAATCAGGCGAGAGAACTCCGAGCCAGACTTGTCCCTCCAACTGTGGAGGAAAAAGCATAAATAAAATAAAAGTGTTTAAACGAATGTTCGCTACTTAATATTATTCACAAACCTCGTTTTTTTTTCTTAAGCGATCCTAAGTGTTTACATCAATTACAATAAAACTCTAATGTCTAGACTATTGAAAAATGTCAAATAGATAATCCTTCACACTTCTTTCACACTATAGCAATTTGCACTATTAGTTAGCCTGTAAATTTTCCCTTTATTAGTTTGCTACACCATTGATTCTCTTGATGAAGTTCATAGGTCAAGATTGGTTGTCATAAAAACAACTATCTCATTTGTTTTAATAATTTAGTTAGCTGAAGCTATCTTATTCTGGGTTAAAAAAATGTATTCATCTCTTTTTTTTCCCCGGTTAAACTGGGTTTTACTATAGATATTTTATAGAAAATTTAGTTGTGATTATGATGGTATCAAAACTATTTTTCTGTGACTTATAGATCAATACTGATCGATTTATTTTTTCCCGAGGTTTTTTTTTTTCCTCCGAAAAAAAACGATTTTCAAGCACTGCTTGAAATGTTCGATTGAAAGGTTCGAGTACAAAATTACAAGTTCACAAAATAGGCATTGAACGAGTTACACTGTATCATAAATTACAAAAAACAAAAAGCCCTTCAAATAAAGTAGGTCAAGTAAATCTTTGTTATTAAAAGGGAATTTAGATTCGGTTTTAGAGCTCTTTGAAACTTTTAAATACGCATCTTTATAGAAATTAAAAACTGCAAACTTTATTATTTGATTTTCTTGTAGTTTTTTTTTTTCTGGCCGTTAAAGTAAGAATTCATAACATCTCAGGATTTTCTTAAAATTCAACATTAGTATAACCGTTGGAATAATGAATTAACACTGTTCTAACCAATAACAATATCTTTTCGATTTCATTCATTTTTAGTTATAAATTAAGAGACAATTTTCAAATATTTTATTTTATATCTTTGTTTCTAATTTGTTTACGGAGTTCGGGTCTGTATCATTTCGTATGCGATATAGAATTTTAAATTTATAATAATTTTCTGGTGAATTGGTAGTCATCCTATCCCAATTATCGCAATTTAATAGTTGTCGACAAAGGTTAGAAGTAGGCCTATTCAAAAATTTCGGACAGCAAATTTTAACTTTTCGATTGCTATAAAAATTAGTATTTAGGGATTTTCTGAGTTGAGAAAAACGAATATCAACTTTACAATTGACCACCCTTTACTTGGTCAGTTGGTATGTCTCCACTCTATAGCTACCTGCTTCATATATATTTTCCAAAACCGGGCCGATAGCTAAATAATTTTTTTTTCTAACTTGACTTTTCAGAACCATAATTTACTTGTCCTACTTCACTGGATGGGCTTTTTGTTTTTTAATTTATATTTATTATACAAATAATATATCTCATTTAATACCATATTCGATATTTTTCTTTTAGTCTGCACGTAATAAGAAATTTTTTGTCATACAATAACTTAAAAATCCGGGCAAAGCAAAGACAAAAATAATTAACATAAATTTTGTTTGAAATTATATAAAAATATTTAGGTATATTGTATGATTTTTTTTCCTCTTCCGAATATGTTAATTTATTTATCTGTCCAACGTTTCGGACTCTTTGCCCATCTTCAGAGAAACTTCTTTCTGTTAGAACATCGTTCACGTTATTAATCTTTGTCAAATTTTTTTCTTGTATTTACATATATTTTTTTAATGGTATATACAATTATTTTTTTTATCTTATCTTTTTAATATTTTTTCTCTATCTCTTATTGAACATGAAATAATATAAGATAAAAATATTTTTTTCTCAGCTCCTAGGGCCCATTGTAAAGAAGGCCGGGACATGTGTCTAATATGTTTTGAGGTAGTTCTCATTTCTAAGCCCTTATTATAACTCTTTATACTTTTAAGCCTTTTTCACATCACAACATTTCAAAAAGACTCCTTGAGTGCTTTTAAAACTGATATGTAGATGTTTTAAGATTTTATTTGATACTTGAATCAGTTTTTAAATCTGTGCATCATTAGATGGCTCTGAAAATAATTTTCCATATACAGGGTGTCCCGTAAGTAGAGGGGAAATATTTAAAGGGGTGATAGCAGATCTCAAGAGCTACAAAAAAAATAACACACATAATGGATTTTCAGCAGGGAAGTAGGAAATTTATGTTTTGTGGTTTTTTAAGTAATTCACTTTTTTTTTGCTTCACTGTAAACTAGATAAAATTTACTTAAAATAAAAATAGAGTTTGTCATTTGCAAAACCATTTAAAGAGGACTTTTGAGTGACTAAACTAAGCTAAGTTCTGTTTTAAAAAAAAAAATCATAAATTATTCGCAATTTTTTTTCATCATCCTCCAACCACTGTAGTGCAGACACCCCACTTTTACAAAAACTTTCTCCTCTAATCAACTTAAGGAAAAACTTGAGATTCACCTCAAGTTGTGTAAACATTTATATCCTGTCACATAAAGGAACCTCTGCTCAGTGGGTCGGGGATAACCGATTTAGGCGGAAAAAAAACTGTAACATTTGATATTTATTTTATTTATGTAATTTGCATACCCGATATGAAGGGAATAGTACGGAAATAGATTAAAAAAAATAATAGAATTAAGATTTTTTTTTCCTAACGCCTCTTGACTTATTCGACTTCTGTCATTAGTCTTCTAGCAGCTACGGAGGTGTTCTAGGTGACCGTTTGGTTCCTTTATATAGATATCCAGGGAACACATGGTTTATAATAATCGGACGCAATCAAAAATCATTCCCTCTTCATGAGAATGGTTGGAAACCATTTGCAGACATCTCCATCCTGTTTTTGTTTTTTTACAGGATAGGATCAATGGTCTTGTGCCCAACCCGCAATCTAGAGGACCAGGAACTATGTTTCTAAGCTCGATTTCTAAGCTTCGGTTTTCTAAGCTCACATGGACCAATTCTCATGCAAACGATCCGACTTGATACGATACTTTAAAGTACCTGCTCATATCGGTCATTTGTTTTGTGCATTTCAATTGCAACGTAAAATACAACGTATTTTAGTATATTGGGAGAAAAACAACTTTTTTTATTTTGTAATTTAAAAACAAATACAGGTTCAAAAATATATGTTGCATATTTTTCTTCTAAAAATACTAAATACGAAAAATATATTTTATTTTGTATTTCAATATATTTTATTTTAAATGCTACTCATGTATGATCCAATACTTCAATTGCAGTTGGCGTGGTGACTTAACTGAGACTTCTGCGGCGAACGCATTTTTTCTGCGTCTCACTTATCAATTACATATTTTTCTTTATTGATCTTACCTCGAGCATAGCAGTCTTCTAATCGTTTATCTATATAAATCTATGTAAACAGGGCGACAAATATTCAAAGAAGAAATATTAAGCGAAGTTTTTTCCCCACAAGTACTCAAGTTTTATTGTATTGTACTACCAACAATTATGTTTAAAGACCAATTTAACACATTCTTGCCATTTTGTTTTAATTTTTACCAGTGCGAATTTGAGATAATATTTCAAGCCAGCAAAAGAGAGATTTTTTCCGATTGGAATCCTTGTTAAATAAGATTAATTATAGCCTATGATAGGATTTTTCCCTACTAAGGGAATAATTCTCTGTTGTTTTTTTTAGAACTTGTTCATTGAGAAGTTTTACAATCTGTCTCAAAGGACATTTATAACAGTGTTCAGAGATCACATTCACACTTTATGTACAATAAATGAAAATAAATTAAACATAAAAATAACATACTTATACAATAAATAAGAATAAAATAAAAACACATATATACCTTTATACACTATTTACAATCAGGTGAGGGAACTCCGAGCCAAACTTATCCCTCCAACTGTAGAGGGAAAAGCATGACTCCAGGAGATCCCTGCACTACTCTCTCAACCGCGTCACTGGGCTAAACCCTATGGAGATTGAGCGAGAGGGCTTCAGCCACCTACACTACTTACTTAATACCTACTTAGTAACGTCTGAGAAAATTTTCATGGAGATATTTCGGGGTACAATTTAATAAATTAATTTTGAAGTTATAAAATTACTATATTTTAGAGCATTTAGGAATAAATAAGTTAATAGACCAAATTATGAATTAATAATTTGATGAATGAGCTACTTAAATACTATTCATCTATAGCCATCAAATTAAAATTATTATTGTAAAAAAAAAAAAATTAACTACTGGTACTGAGCTCAATAAAAGATAAGACGATAATTGAACAAAACATGGACCGTCAAATCAGTAGTTGTTTAGAGAGTTGTAATTATCGTTGGGAACTGCTAAAATCAAAACAATTTCTAATTAGACATTACTATTTTATCTTATTACGTTGGATTGGAAAAATTCTACCATTAATTTGGTCATTCGTCCCAAGTAAATTTTGTCTAGTTTACAGTGAAGCAATGTTTAATTACTTAAATTAAATATTTTTATATTCATAGCTTCCTATTCAACAAAAAACGTGACTTACTTAAAATTAACACAAAACTTTAATTTATTACGTTCTTGCTGAAAATCGGCCATTGTTAATACGAATTTTTTTGTAGTTCTACTTCATAAAAAATATTTTTAAAAACATTATTTTTAAACTATTTTTATATTAATAAAAAGTGTATTTAGGCCCTTCGGTATATTATGATACATCCCAGATCTTATGAAAACAATAAATAAAAGTTTTCAACAGTGAATTATAGGCATTTTTGCAGACAGGTTAAAAATCACATTTTTTTACGCAACTTGAGGTGAATCTCAAGTTTTTGCCAAGTAAACCCCAAATCAATTAATATGGAATTATAGGTTATTAAACTAAAACGTTTTTCGTAAAGTAGGGCATCTGTGGCACAGTGATGAAAAAAATCGCTGAGTTCGAAAAAGATATGATTTTTTTATAAACAGAATTTAGCTCAGTTTTCCTGACCAAAAGTCTCGTTTAGAAGGCTAGAACCACGACAAAGTCTTTTCATGTTTAAAGGAAATTTTTTTCTCATTTACAGTACAGCAATGGTTTATTACTTAAATTAAAAATGTCTTTAGTTATCGCTTCCTATTTAACAAAAAACATAACTTTCTTAAAAATAAACACTAATCTTTAATTTCCCACTTTCCTATTGAAAATCGATCCATTGTTAATATAAAAATTTTTGTAGCTCTTGAAGGCTGTTATCACTCCTATAAATATTTCTTTTTGCCAACAGGTCTACAGGACACTCTGTGTACAGGCTGCTCCGGGAATAAAATGTTAGTGCAATTTAGGGAGAGAGGCTACCGAAAATGTTGGGCGCCGCCAACCAATGTCCTAACTGTAACTGAATATTATTCAATCATATCAGCATTTTTGGAATCTGTGATAAGTACTCTATAATGTATCAACCAATTTTCGGAATATATAACCAAAATACTGGAAAGGACTCATACTATTGCAGTAATCAGATGCTTTTTACCATCAAACCTCAATATCCCTTCGAATTAGACTCGCTTTGCAAAGTGTGTATACCGTTGGAAAAATAAATAAAGCAGTTTTTTTTTTAATCCTTCATGTTTTTTTAACCCTTTTAATCAATCATGTCTCGAAAATTCTTTAGGTAAGATTCTACCGAGTATTTCTGAAAAAATATTCATTTTTACAAGTTAATTTTGCTTAGGCTGCTAAGAAATACTAAGGAAGCTATACTTTCCTACAAATTGCTTGCTATCTTACAGGGAATTTATCATAGATTCCAAAAAAAGTAACATGAATTTAGTTACGTTAAAACAGTCAAATTTCGGTTTTGATGAAAAAGCCGTGATTTTGTCAACTACTACGGATTGAATGATAAGAATGAGCGGTTGGCGATGCTTAATAAAATTTTCGGCAGGCTATGTTCCCCTCAACTTCATTCACAGTACCTTCTCGGACATCCTATATATATATATATATATATATATATATATATGTATGTATGTATGTATGTATGTATATTTGTTTTAAAAAATTGTAAATTGAATTTGCAGAAGGAAAAGATACAGCTCGGCGCTATGATTCCAAGTTTATTGAAACATCAGTTGGTCTCAACCATCGAGTCGATGAACTACTTGTTGGAGTTCTGACACAGATACGCCTCAAAGACGCTGAAAGAAAGAAGCCGCAAGAGGAACAAAAAACTGGTCTATTTCCTAAATCCAGGGGTAAAGGAACCTCTGCTAGCTTAAAGGTAAAGGGCCTCCTTTCCAAAGTTTGGGCCCGTGATTCCAAATCCAAGTCTTGTGAGAACCTTCATGTTTTATAGGAGTTAGTTCGTAGAACCGCAAGGGGGTCTATACAGCTTCTTTCTATGAACTTTTCTGAAACAAGCTAATTTTGAGCTGGAATCGTCTCTAGCCTCTACTTAGTATACACACTAAGTTATATAACATATATTAGTATATGAGCACTTTATACTAATGTATCATGGACATTCTTGCGGTTCTCGTATTCTAATGAACTTTCTTTCTCGTGGAAAATGAATGAAACAAGCATCAACCGATTTTCAGGACTCGGTTAGCATCAGATTGTTATATTTGAAATTCTGTAATCTGTTATTTTCGTCTATTTTCTTGCTATAAACTTTGGAAGCGTTGGGACGGAAGTGGAAATAATAAGTGCTGGCTTATCTTACCTGTCTTAGTTGCGAAACAAACCTGAAACTTTATAGCTTTATTTTATATATATATATATATATATATATATATATATATATATATATATATATATATATATATATATATATATATATATCACATATATATATATATATATATATATATATATATATATATGTGTGTGTGTGTGTATGTGTTGTGTGTGTGTGTATGTGTTGTGTGTGTGTGTGCGTGTGCGTGCGTGAGTGTGTGCGTGGTGCGTGTGTGTGTGTTTATAATTATACTTTTATATTTTTTATCAATTTATATTAAAGATGATCGTTCGTGAGACGGTTAGCATTTTGTTAATCTTTAGTCCTAAAATTACTATGATTATTATTATCATGATTTTTTTTAATAATGGTGTGAATGAACTAAAAAGAGTAGTAAAGTTAGATCTGCTAAGGATATTGTAAATGATTCAATTATTTCAATCACAACAATGTTTTCATTTATTTTATTTTTTTAATAAATATGTCTTCCAGGATTTCTTCGTGCAATCACTGAACTGGTAAATGCTATAAAGCAATAAAATTACAGTTAAGTTTTGTAATGAAGTATATTCATTATAAAGTATCCTAAGGCATTGTTTCGATTGTTTTTTTAAAACGTTGTACGTAAGCTTCCAAAAAATTTGTAAGACTAATAATATTTTAAAGAAGGCTTCAAAGGGCCCCGGCGATCCGCCAAGTTTTACTTCAAAGCAATTGTTGTACATATTTTATTATATAACCATATTACATGGTAATTACCATTTATCTTCATAATAACATTTTCCGAAAGTTTTATAAATACTTATTAAGTCCTCATATGATGTATGCGTGTATATATATAAATATATATATATATATATATACATATATATATATATATATATATATATATATATATACACATATATACACGCCCTCCTATAAATAGTATATCGTATGCGCAATTATCAAAATCAAATCAAAGTTCACATTTTAAAAATTGAATTTTTTGGATTTGTAAATTTAATAATAAAAATTAAACTATCCATCGTGAAGTTAATTTTTAAATTTTCTTGGTTTTCAAAGATTTTTAACAAGTGGAATGAATCAAATATATAGATGTACTATTGCATATACATGCAAAGATGTAAATCTTTAGTTCGAGCTTTGATTTGTGAACATATTATTTACAAATCTAACTTATCCGAGATATTCCTTTTTGAAAAATAACTTTTGTCGTTTCAATACAAATAAAAAGTAAAGAAACTTTTCTATAAAACAAACAAAAAAAAAATAAACAAACATAAAACAAAAAAAAAATTGAAAATACATACGACACCAAGATATAACCTTTTAGGATTTAATGTTACCAAGAAGTACCATATAGAAATTAATTTTAAAATGGAAAATTTGTGTCTTCCCCATCCAAACGAAAAAGAAATGATCTTTTAATAAAAATTATATAAAAAAAAATAAAAATAAAAGTACACCTCATGAAACCAATGAATTCGTCCTTTTATAATAAATATTTGTAGCTGTTAGTAATTAGTTAGATTATACATTGGAAGAGATGGGGAGGGAGCCACCTGGAAGTCAGGAAAATGAAAGGACTCAATGCTGGATTTGTCAATCCTACCTAATTGTAAAGTTAATACCCTTCTTATTGACACCATTATCGTAAGTATCATATTCTAGCCAAGGACCAACTATTTTATCTCAAAGGCAGCTAACTGTTTTTACACCTGTTAGCTGGCACAATATTGTAACAGATTTATAGTAATTGGCAGCTCCTCGTCTCTACCATGACCTAATGCACCAATCCCGCGCCTTTTTCGGGAAATCATTAAGATGTTTTTTTAAATCTAAGATAAAACTAATATATGTATATATGTATGTTTGTTTGTGTATGTATATATGTATGTATGTATATATATATACATATATATATACATAATACATAAGCATATGTGTTTGTAATATGTATTTATATACACACGAATATATACATACACACACTCATATATATATGTGTGAATATGAGTATGTGTGTGTGTGTCTGTGTGCGTGTGTGTATCTATGTACTTATCTGTGTGCGTGTCAATTTTATCTAAGGTATTATGAACACATGCGAACATTTTTACAAACATGTATTTATATATGTAGGTATGTATAAGATTCGTTATATATTAATAATATATGATTGTTGGACCACATTTTATTATTAGTAAATATTAGATGTTAAGCCCTTATCCTGTGCCTTGCCTTTGTCATAATTGATAAAAAAAAAAATCATTAAATTCGCCGGTATCTTTTTAATAATTTTGTCTGCCCTATTCTGTGCCTAGTTATAAAAAAAATATAATTAGTAAATTATTGAGATAAAATAAATGTACATTATAAATTATTCTAATGAAATGTGTCGCTCAGAAAAATGTTTGATCGGGCAAGAATTATTCAATATGACTAAGAATTATAGAGCGATTTAGGAGTCTTCCAGTTGAATCAGTCCAGTGGGAAATGCTAGGCCAATCGAATTTACCATTCCAAATAGGAGGATCATACCTATCAAGGAGCTTATATCGCCACTAGGTAAATTCTTATATAATAATGAAAGTTTATTTGTCAAATCAAAGTCAGAATAGGAAATAAAACTTGCTGGCTAACTCAATAATAGATTCCTTCATTTTACTCAATAATCCAAGCCTTGGAAGGGTTAAGGCTCTGTAAAAATATCTGCTTGTCTCGTTCACTGATTAATAAATATAGTATTAATATTTACACTCAGTGACATGTGTGTTGACAAAGGTTGTTCCAGGGTATCAAACAAAGCAAAGTCCAGTACTGCAAAATTTAAAGTGGTCTGAACAGATGTTATGAATGAGCATCCTGGAAAACCGAGACATTGTAAAGCAAAACATCACGATTTGTCAGCTGAGCAATCTTGAAAATTTGACCTAGCTCAAATTATCATATCATATTTTCAGAAATTGATTTATTTTTAGAGGTTCAGAGTTTCCCAACCAAACACGGATTTGTAGTAAATATGCAACGGTAATTAATGCCAATGTTGTGGAGGAAGACTCAAAACCTGCCGAATGAACTCATGTTGGGAGGATTCTAAGGCCAAATATATGATTAGTTAATAGGACCAAAATGTTATTCAGGGAGTAATAAAAACCATTACTAAATAACGCAAAGCATTAACACAGAGCAAGATTACTGAAGGTATTATATACATATATGTGTGAATGTGTATATATATCTATTCATATGTGCCCACACACCCATGCATAATATGTATTTACATATTTTTTATTTTATTATTTGATTGTCGTAAGTTTCAATTTCTTGACTAACGTTATTGGGACGTTTGAAAAAATATAAATAGCGTTTGATAACTGAACATAAGTTGATGATCAAATATTATTAAGATGAAAGAGAGGATCGTGAAAATGGTCCTGGCATTCGATTTCGACCTATGAAAAAATCTTGCATTTCTATTCCCTTATAAATGTGACGGGAGAAATGCTATGATTTTTTCAATCGATCTAATTTATGTGTGATGCAGAGGATATTAATGAAAATGCTTACGAGCCATGCTTAAAGACATATAATCTCAATGCCAGGATGTTTTGATCAGTACCTCTAACGTCTGTTACGTCACATTGAGTATTAACTGATGTCAATTTTATCGTCAAATTAATAATTAAATTGACATATCAATGGTGAATATTTTCTGTTTTATGCATCTTTCCCAATATTAGTAAATTGAAGAGGAGACAGTAAAACAAGTAGAAATGGATCGTAATGAACAGATACTTAATAAAATACTGGCGTCATATTAAACCTCATCCATGTTTTGTAACCCGATCCATTGCCTTCTGTATTGAAATTATTCCTCCTCTCCTTTGCGATGTAGTAAATTTAATCAGAACTAATGTAACATCTTGTTCATTCCTTATTTATTTATATGTCATTGTGAATACATTGTAATAATAAAATTTTGATGTACTATTTTTTTGTTTTTTATAATTAAAGATTGTAATGTCAAACTGGAATCCTTTTATATATTACACCATTATTGAATGCAACTGTTTATATATTGTAATAATATTAATAAATGTTCAAAAATTGTCTTTGTTTTTTATTTCTATCCCTTTCAAAAAACATTTTATTAAAATTAAAATATTGGAACTCGGGTTGGATTCTGCTTACAGTAAATATTGATATATTTAAAATATTGTAAAAATATAAGTTTAATTGGAAAAAAATACTATTATCCATATAGCGCCCATACAAAAAGATAGAGAAATTTAAATACATCCAGAATATTTTTCTGTTTTATGGATAACAGGATTCTGTTTGGTAACCTTTCCCAACTTACCATTTCCATTTCTTTAACAGAACAATATAGAATATAATGGAAATGAGATTAATTTAAATTTTTTTTTAAATTTTTTTTTATTGAGTATTATTTGTATAAATCTGCCACACTGAAGGGTATTGGTACTAGAGCTATAGTATTCAATTTAATACTAAAATGCCTGTGAGACTGAATGGAAATAGTAATAAACATTAATTTGATCCTTTTATCTTATCGAAGTGTAAAATGTCTGTTGCGTCATTTTAGATGTGTCTCTTTCTGTTGTACAATATCTATAGCATTCAAGGGGGAAGGGGATTTGGAATAATGAAATAGACATTTTTTTTCAACAGGTTCCTATTTGTTTCTATAAGTGACCTAGAACAAATGGTTAACAATCATAACATAGTCTCCTTTCAAATTATAACGCATGTACTTCAGCTACTAAATATAAAAATTGTACCCCTAAAAGCATTATATGTATTATTGAATTAAATTGGGTAAGTGCACTAGTGATAGATAATTTTTAGCTAAGGAAATTTTTGTCTTATGCTGCCGCAATTATTAAAGTTATAAATTTTTCCGTTGAACATTTAGAATCTCTATGGTCTCCTTTTTCTATTTAACAATTTAAAATTGAAAAACATTCATTTTTTTCTGATTTAATGTC